TACAAGAAAATGTATCTTTTGGAATTTCGAAAATTTCGTTGAAAATTGGTGGAAAATTGGTCGCATTTTGCATAGATTTGTACTGTTCAAAGGACGATTCTGGAAAAACCATTCGAATTATCGAAGAAACGAAAGCGGAAATGACTTCTGCGGCCTGAAATCTACAAGAAAATGTATCTTTTGAAATTTTGAAAATTTCGTTGAAAATTGGTGGAAAATTGGTCGTATTTTGCATAGATTTGTACTGTTCAAAGGACGATTCTGGAAAAACCATTGGAGTTATCGAAGAAACGAAAGCGGAAATGACTTCTGCTTCCCGAAATCTACAAGAAAATGTATCTTTTGAAATTTCGAAAATTTCGTTGAAAATTGGTGGAAAATTGGTCGTATTTTGCATAGATTTGTACCGTTCGAAGGACGATTCTGGAAAAACTATTGGATTTATCGAAGAAACGAAAGCGGACATGACTTCTGCGGCCTGAAATCTACAAGAAAATGTATCTTTTAAAATTTCGAAAATTTAGTTGAAAATTGGTGGAAAATTGGTCGTATTTTGCATAGATTTCTACTGTTTAAAGGACGATTCTGTAAAAACCATTGGGGTTATCGATGAAATGAAAGCGGAAATGACTTCTGCTGCCTGAGATCTACAAGAAAATGTGTCTTTCGAAATTTCGAAAATTTCGTTGAAAATTAGTGGAAAATTGGTCGTGTCCCAAGATTTTAGAAATATTCGATTTGAGAGCTATTTTTCAAAAATTCTGGAAAACTGTTAGGAATATTCGAAAAAATGAGGCCGAAATAAACTTTTAGAAAATCGTAAAAATGGAAAATCGCATAATCGAACAAATGAAGAAACTAAAAATCGAGAACCTAAAAAAAATTGTGAAATTCAAAACTGTACATTTAAAGATAGAAAAATTCAAAAATTGAGAAAATGAAAACTAAAAAATTTGCAAATAAAAAATTGAAGAAACAAAAAATTATATCGATAAATGGAAAAATTTAAAAATTGGTACATCTCAAATTTGGTGAATGAGAAAATTGAGAAATTTTGAAATAAAAACTCGAAGAGATGCAATCGTAAAATTGAAGAACCAAAAGTGAATGAAAAATTCCAAATTGAAAAATTGAAGAAACGAAAAATTGAAAAAATTGAAATTGCAAGAAGAAAAATATTTTAAAATAGAAACATTAAAAAATCGAAAAATTTTAAAAATAAAGGAAATGAAACACCGACTTGAAAAATTGTAATCGAAAAATTGAAGAAACGAAGAATCCAAAAACTGAAATATCCAAAAGTTGGAAAATCGAAAAACTGAAAAATTTCAAAATGAAAATTCGAAGAAATGCATATCGTAAATTTGAAACAAAAAATACATGTAAAATTGAAGAAATAAAAAATGGAAAAAAATTGAAATTTGGAAAGTGAGAAAATAGAAAGAAAGATTAGAAAATCGAAAAATTCTATAAATAAAGAACCGACATGAAAATTGCAAATCGAAAAATTGAAGAAACAAAAGTTTATGAACTGAAAATCCAAAGATAGGAAAACTGGAAAATTTTAAAATGAAAAATTGAAGAAACTAGAAATTGAAAGCGGAAATGACTTCTGCGGCCTGAAATCTACAAGAAAATGTGTTTAGTGAAATTTCGAAAATTTAGTTGAAAATTGGTGGAAAATTGGTCGTATTTTGCATAGATTTCTACTGTTTAAAGGACGATTCTGTAAAAACCATTGGAGTTATCGATGAAATGAAAGCGGAAATGACTTCTGCTGCCTGAGATCTACAAGAAAATGTGTCTTTTGAAATTTCGAAAATTTCGTTGAAAATTGGTGGAAAATTGGTCGTGTCCCAAGATTTTAGAAATATTCGATTTGAGAGCTATTTTTCAAAAATTCTGGAAAACTGTTAGGAATATTCGAAAAAATGAGGCCGAAAGTAACTTTTAGAAAATCGTAAAAATGGAAAATCGCAGAAACGAACAAATGAAGAAACTAAAAATCGAGAACCAAAAAAAAATTGTGAAATTCAAAACTGTACATTTAAAGATAGAAAAATTCAAAAATTGAGAAAATGAAAACTAAAAAATTTGCGAATAAAAAATTGAAGAAACAAAAAATTATATCGATAAATGGAAAAATTTAAAAATTGGTACATCTCAAATTTGGCGAATGAGAAAATTGAAAAATTTTGAAATAAACTCGAAGAGATGCATATCGTAAAATTGAAGAACCAAAAGAGAATGAAAAATTCCAAATTGAAAAATTGAAGAAACGAAAAATTGAAAAAATTGAAATTGGAAGAAGAAAAATATTTTAAAATAGAAACATTAAAAAATCGAAAAATTTTAAAAATAAAGGAAATGAAACACCGACTTGAAAAATTGTAATCGAAAAATTGAAGAATCGAAGAATCTAAAAAACTGAAATATCCAAAAGTTGGAAAATCGAAAAACTGAAAAATTTCAAAATGAAAATTCGAAGAAATGCATATCGTAAATTTGAAACAACAAAAAATATATTTAAAATTGAAGAAATAAAAAATGGAAAAAAATTGAAATTTAGAAAATGAGAAAATAGAAAGAAAGATTAGAAAATCGAAAAATTCTATAAATAAAGAACCGACATGAAAATTGCAAATCGCAAAATTGAAGAAACAAAAGTTTATGAACTGAAAATCCAAAGGTTGGAAAACTGGAAAATTTTAAAATGAAAAATTGAAGAAACTAGAAATTGAAAGCGGAAATGACTTCTGCGGCCTGAAATCTACAAGAAAATGTGTTTAGTGAAATTTCGAAAATTTAGTTGAAAATTGGTGGAAAATTGGTCGTATTTTGCATAGATTTCTACTGTTTAAAGGACGATTCTGTAAAAACCATTGGAGTTATCGATTAAATGAAAGCGGAAATGAGTTCTGCTGCCTGAGATCTACAAGGAAATGTGTCTTTTGAAATTTCGAAAATTTCATTGAAAATTGATGGAAAATTGGTCGTGTCCCAAGATTTTAGAAATATTCGATTTGAGAGCTATTTTTCAAGAATTCTGGAAAACTGTTAGGAATATTCGAAAAAATGAGGGCGAAAGTAACTTTTAGAAAATCGTAAAAATGGAAAATCGCATAATCGAACAAATGAAGAAACTAAAAATCGAGAACCAAAAAAAAATTGTGAAATTCAAAACTGTACATTTAAAGATAGAAAAATTCAAAAATTGAGAAAATGAAAACTAAAAAATTTGCGAATAAAAAATTGAAGAAACAAAAAATTATATCGATAAATGGAAAAATTTAAAAATTGGTACATCTCAAATTTGGCGAATGAGAAAATTGAGAAATTTTGAAATAAAAACTCGAAGAGATGCATATCGTAAAATTGAAGAACCAAAAGTGAATGAAAAATTCCAAATTGAAAAATTGAAGAAACGAAAAATTGAAAAAATTGAAATTGGAAGAAGAAAATTATTTTAAAACAGAAACATTAAAAAATCGAAAAATTTTAAAAATAAAGGAAATGAAACACCGACTTGAAAAATTGTAATCGAAAAATTGAAGAAACGAAGAATTTAAAAACTGAAATATCCAAAAATTGGAAAATCGAAAAACTGAAAAATTTCAAAATAAAAACTCGAAGAAATGCATATCGTAAATTTGAAACAACAAAAAATATATGTAAAATTGAAGAAATAAAAAATGGAAAAAAATTGAAATTTGGAAAATGAGAAAATAGAAAGAAGGATTAGAAAATCGAAAAATTCTATAAATAAAGAACCGACATGAAAATTGCAAATCGAAAATTTGAAGAAACAAAAGTTTATGAACTGAAAATCCAAAGGTTGGAAAACTGGAAAATTTTAAAATGAAAAATTCAAGAAACTAGAAATTGAAAGCGGAAATGACTTCTGCGGCCTGAAATCTACAAGAAAATGTGTTTAGTGAAATTTCGAAAATTTCGTTGAAAATTGGTGGAAAATTGGTCGTGTCCCAAGATTTTATAAATATTCGATTTGGGAGCTATTTTTCAAAAATTCTGTAAAACTGTTAGAAATATTCGAAAAAATGAGGCCGAAAGTAACTTTGTCAGTTGAAAATCTATAAAACAAATTTTTGGGTCATTTTATTCTGCCTTGCATTGGCAGTGAGGAATTCTTCCAGAAGTTCGCTCTTTATTTTCCTAATGACGAACTACGCTGAACTCAGTATACAATGTCTTAAATTATCTAATCAATGAAAACAACTCTGCCAATTCTTTATTTCTGTATAATGTTTAATAATACTAATAAATAGCAGATAATGATACTACATTATCCATTTTGTTCTTATTTACTCAATGTTTCATTCATGTTTTATCTGTTGATAATAATTTTGCAATAACAATCATGCTTAAATAAATATTATATAATATGCAACTACCAGTTTAATGTTGGCATTCACCTTGGATTTCAGAGTATCCTGGAAGGTACAATCTATGCATCTTTTAATTTTAGCAGCGCTAAATCATGCTGGAATGGTGAACAATTATGGAAATTTTGAACCTTGTCACGAGTCGCTACTATCACGTGTGACTTGAGAACAAAATAAAAAAAAATATTTTTCGTCCTTGTTTTCCACACCAAAAAAAAAAGTAGTCGTAGTTGGCGCAAAAACCTCTCCACCTTCGCCAGGTATACTTCAACACAACTTTTTCCACCAGATGAGTCAAGCAAATTGAGTCATCCGTGCAGCGCTCTAGAAAGGAAATGACAAAAAAAAACCAAGAAACATCCAATCGCGGTCACAATTCGAAATCTCCCGAGCCGCGGCCGTGGCAATCGCACCACCTCTCCTCGTCCCATCTTGGCCCCGATTCAAGCCCTCCTCTTCGGCTGCGCCTTCGACATTTCAGTGATTCATTTTTATTATGACCGCCTCCCCCACGAAAACCTGCTGGAACGCTGAACGAGATCGAGTCTTGTTGACGTTTCGCTGCGTGCGCACAGCGCACGCGCGTCCACCATTGCTCCGGTAACGCTGGAACTTGCGCACAGCCAACTTAGTTTCTCGTTCAGTGTAGTTTGCGTCGGACGCGTGTCGATCGTGCTCCTAATAGCGATTATTTACATGTACTCAGTGCATCGTGCATTCCCAGTGCACCAGTCTGTGTGACTCCTGGACGCCCGATTACGTTGCATGGATTAAAAAGCGACAAACGACGAGGTGAGCCGCCGCCGCTTTGGCCCGCATGTTTAGTAGGTCGTTCTGAATATTTATCAAGTCGGTCATGTGGCTGCAGAAAGTCGCTGGTGCATCGAGAGCCGATGCACCGGCAAGGGACTGCGGAAAAATTCGGCGCCGGAGCGGGACGGACGCAGGGACGGACGCGGGATTGTGTTTGTTTTGGTTTTTTCCGAGCGCGATGTTTGCCGGGTGGCCGATTTTTGCGGGCCGCTTCAAGGTCGGAAGACGCCGCCTCCACGGCCTCCACCACCTCCTGAAAACATCTTCGGCGGTGGTCATCATGGTACAAAAATATAAGCGCCAAAACTACACAGAATACTGTAACACGTAATGAATGACGTCATATGCACCTTTAAAGGGAGCGAAACACATATTTTATACACATATTATATATATACAACCAAACATTTAAAGGTTAATATTATTATCTTTCTATTTTATCATTATTTATACTAATAATTGTAAGTAGAATAACCGATAAGGAGGTTACTTCTACTAGAAAAAGATAACAATTTGCGATTTTTATTTCCAAATTAACAAATCTCGTGTTTGGACCCAAAATAATGAGGTACTACATAATGGGCGATTACAACCGACAAACAAACGCTTTTACTTTAATTAGAAAGAAAGCGAAATATGCGAACACCGTTGCCAGTAAAGGACGGAATAACAGAGGAATTTGCCAAAGTTTACAACGCTGCTAGTGAAGTATGCACGGATTAACCCAGACCTACTAGATTTCGACGAATTCAAGCCTACTTTCTTATTGATTCACGAATTGGTTCGAGCGTTGCATGAAAGCGAGGCTTGCTATGTGAGTTTCGCCAAAAGCAATATGTATTATTTTATAGATATATAGATATAGATTCTAATAGAGATTCAGGTGACGCAATTTCTAAATTAGACAAAATTTTGCTTAGTAATAAGCAAAGTGAGGCTTCCGCAGCTTCTAATTATTACTGCGCACAAAATTTAAACTTCCCTGGGAGAAAAATGAGCTTTAAATTACATATTCATAAGGGGTTCAATTTGATAAAATTGGCTAATCATCCCCACCAACAAGTTGATGACATCGTCTCAAATTTTTTTGAATAAATCCGCAAAATATTATGGACTCTATACTTGCGGTTTATCAATGGACACTGTATCTATCCTTGATATATACGTCTTTGTTAAAATGTTGATGACGTCATCATAAAATTTTATAAAGGAAAAACTCACTAGAAACAAATCTTAGCACGCTTCTTTAGATATTTATCTTAACATTACATACAGATCTTCATTTTAGATGTAAGGGTTATCATAAAAAATAAAATTTCCAAAATTAAATCTTATAATTTTTCGAAAAACCTGGTTTTATTTACCTTCATTCAATTTTTTGATATCACAATTTTTCGTTTTCTTAATTTCCTTTATTTTTTCAATTCTTCATTTTCCGATTTTTAATTTTTTTTTTAGATTTTCAAATTTTTAGATTCTTCAAAGTTTTCATTTTATGCTTTTTCATTTTTGAATTTTACAATTTTTCCTTTTTTTTGTCTAAAACTAGAAAAATTGAAAAGCGAAAAAATTGGAAAATCGTAAAAATGGAAAATTGCAGAGAATCAAAAAAAAATATTGTGAAATTCAAAACTGGACATTTAACGATAGAAAAGTTCAAAAATTAAAATATTGAGAAACTGAAAAATTAAAAATCCAAAAATTCTAATTAATATTTAAAATAAAAACTAAAAAAATTGAAGAAACAAAAATTATACTATCGATAAATGGAAAAAGAGATGCATATCGTAAGATTGAAGAAACAAATAATAAATGAAAAATTGAAGAAATAAAAAATGGAAAACTGAAAATCCAAAAGTTGGAAAATTGGAAAACCGAAAAATTTTAAAATGGCAAATTGCAAATCGAAAAATTGAAGAAACTAGAAATTGAAATTGAGAGAACAAAAAAATTTTAAAATATAAACATTAAAAAATCGAAAAATTGGAAAAATAAAAAAAATGAAAAACCGATATTGAAAAATTGTGATCGAAAAAGTGAAGAAATGAAGAATCTAAAAACTGAAATATCCAAAAGTTGGAAAATCGAAAAACCGAAAAATTTAAAAATGAAAACTCGAGACGCATATCGTAAAATTGAAGAAACAAAAAATAAATGAAAAATTGAAGTAACGAAAAATTGAAAAAATTGGAATTGGAAGAAGAAAAATAACATTAAAAAATCGAAAAATTGAAGAAAAAAAAATAAAACTGAAAACCCAAAAGTTAGAAAATTGGAAAACTGAAAAATGGTAAATCGAAAAACTGAAGTAACAAAAAATAAATGAAAAATTGAAGAAACTAGAAATTGAAATTGAAAGAACAAAACAATTTTTAAATAGGAACATTAAAAAATCGAAAAATTGTAAAAATAAAGAAAATGAAAGACCGACATTGAAAAATTGAAGAAATGAATCTAAAAAAAAACTGAAATATCCAAAAGTTGGAATATTGGAAAACTGAAAAATGAAAAATCGAAGAAACTAGAAATTGAAATTGAATGATCAAAAAAATTTTAAAATAGGAACATTAAAAAATCGAAAAATTGTAAAAATAAAGAAAATGAAAAACCGACATTGAAAAATTGTGATCGAAAAATTGAAGAAATAAAAAATAAAAACTGAAAATCCAAAAGTTACAAAATTAGAAAACTGAAGAATGGTAAATCGAAAAACTGAAGTAACAAAAAATAAATGAAAAATTGAAGAAACTAGAAATTGAAATTGAAAGAACAAAAAAATTTTAAAATAGGAACATTAAAAGGAAAAAATTGAATTTGGAAAATTAGACAATAGAAAGAGAGATTAAAACATCGAAAAATTCTATAAATCAAGAACCGACATGAAAAAATGCAAATCGAAAAATTGAAGAAATAAAAACTGAAAACCCAAAAGTTGGAAAACTGGAAAGTTTTAAAATGAAAAATTGCAAATCGAAAAATTGAAGAAACTAGAAATTGAAAGTGCAAAAAAAATTAAAATAGAAATATTGAAAGATCGAAAAATTGTAAAAAAGAAAATGAAAAATTTCAAAAATGAAAACTCGAAGATTAGCATATCGTAAAATTGAAGAAACAAAAAATAAATGAAAAATTGAAGAAATGAATGGCAATTAATTGAAATTGATGAAATTGAAACTCACTAGAAACAAACTCTTAGCACGCTTCTTTAGACATTTATCTTAATATTACATACAGATCTTTATTTCAACTTTAAGGGTTTTATTTACCTTCAACCAATTTTTTGATATCACAATTTTTCGTTTTTTTAATTTCCTTTATTTTTTCAATTCTTCATTTTCCGATTTTTCATTTTATGCTTTTTCATTTTTGAATTTCACAATTTTTCCTTTTTTTTCAGTCCAAAACTAGAAAAATTGAAAATCGTAACAATGGAAATTGCATAATCGAACAAATGAAACTAAAAATCGAGGACCTAAAAAAAATTGTGAAATTCAAAACTGTAAATTTAAAGATAGAAAACTTCAAAAATTGAAATATTAAGAAATTGAAAAATTAAAAATCTAAAAATTCTAATTAAAATTTACAATGAAAACTAAAAAAAATTGCAAATTAAAAATTGAAGAAACAAAAAATTGTAATATCGATAAATGGAAAAATTTAAAAATTTTGAAATGAAAACTCGAGATGCATATCGTAAAGTTGAAGAAACAAAAAATAATTGAAAAGTTGAAGAAATGAAAAATTGAAAAAATTGAAATTGGAAGAAGAAAAATATTTTAAAATACAGATACTAGAAAATCGAAAAATTGTAAGAACAAAGCAAATGAAAAACCGACATTGAAAAATTGTGATCGAAAAATTGAAGAAATAAAAAATAAAAACTGAAAATCCAAAAGTTAGAAAATTGGAAAACTGAAAAAATGTTAAATCGAAAAACTGAAGTATCTATCCTTGATATATACGTCTTTGTTAAAATGTTGATGACGTCATCATAAAATTTTATAAAGGAAAAACTCACTAGAAACAAATCTTAGCACGCTTCTTTAGATATTTGTCTTAACATTACATACAGATCTTTATTTTAACTGTAAGGGTTATCATAAAAAAATTAAATTTCCAAAATTAAATCTTATAATTTTTCGAAAAATCTGGTGTTATTTACCATCATCCAATTTTTTGATATCACAATTTTTCGTTTTTTTTTTTCAATTCGTCATTTTCCGATTTTTCATTTGTTTTCAAATTTTCAAATTTTTAGATTCTTCAAAGTTTTCATTTTATGCATTTACGTTTTTTCATTTTTGAATTTTACAATTTTTCCTTTTTTTTAGTCTAAAACTAGAAAAATTGATAAAATCGTAAAAATTGAAAATTGCGTAATCGAACAAATGAAGAAACTAAAAATCGAGAACCTAAAAAAATTGTGAAATTCAAAAATTAAAATATTGAGAAATTGAAAAATTGAAGAAACAAAAAATTATAATATCGGTTAATGGAAAAATTTAAAAATTGATACATCCCAAATTTGGCGAATGAGAAAATTCAAAAGTTTTGAAATAAAAACTTGAAGGAAGAGATGCATATTAAAATTGAAGAACCAAAAATAAATGAAAAATTCCAAATTGAAAAATTGAAGAAACGAAAAATTGATAAAATTGAAATTGGAAGAAGAAAAATATTTTAAAATAGAAACATTAAAAAATCGAAATTTTTTAAAAATAAAGGAAATGAAAAACCGACATGAAAACTTGTAATCGAAAAATTGAAGAAACGAAGAATCTAAAAATTGAAAAATTTAAAAATGAAAACTCGAAGAGATGCATACCGACAGATTGAAGAAACAAAAAATAAATGAAAAATTGAAGAAATAAAAAATGGAAAAAATTTAAATTGGAAAAATGATAAAATAGAAAGGAAGATTAAAAAATGGAAAAATTCTATAAATAAAGAACCGACATGAAAAATTGTAAATCGAAAAT